CTATACTTGTATTTTCACTTGTAGTTTCACATTCCTATAATATCAGCTAAGGAAATCAGAGGTTTAACATTTTCGGGGAAACTAAATTCAAACAAGGATTAAGAGTCAACAATGGTACGACGAATTGTCTTTCTTTCTCTATATTTTGATGGATCGCAAAAATTTCCGCGTTTCGCGCGGGAGAGGAAAACTTCATTTAAACGAGCCGAGAACAGTACAACGAATTATCTTCTATCTGTAATAATTTGAGGAAACCTCTAAGCTTCCGCGATTCGCGCTGAGGGGGGGGGGGGGGGGGGGGGGGAACTGAATTCAGATAAGGGTTAAGAGTCGAGAACAGTACAACGAATCGTCTTCCTTTCTCTATATTTGATGAAACGCAAAAATTTCCGCGCTAAGCACGGAGGGCAACACTTCATTTAGACGAGTCGAAACGGTACAACGAATCGCCTTTCTCTCATAATTTAAGGAATCGTCAAAGCTTCCACGCTTCGCGCAAGATGGGGAAACTGAATTCAGACAAAGAGGGCTTATTAAGAGTTAAAAACGGTACAACGAATTGTCTGCTTTCTCTAATAACTTAAGGAAATGTCAAAGCTTCCGCGCTTCGCGCAAGAGGGGCAAACTGAATTCAGATAAATAGAGCTTAATAAGAGTCGAAAACGGTGCAACGAATCGTCTTCTTTCTATAATAATTAAATCAGAGTCCAAGCATTTCGCGCTTCGCGCTGGAAGGGGGAAACTGAATTCAGACAAGGATTAAGACTCGAGCACGGTTCAACGAATCGTCTACTTTCTCTAATAATTTAATGAACGACAAAACTTTCGCGCTTCGCGCGGGAGGGGGAAAACTGAATTCAGATAAGGATTAAGAGTCGAGAACAGTAGGCCGACACCGAATCGTCTGCTTTTTCTCATAATTCAATGATACGTTAAAGCTTCCGCGCTTCGCGCGGGAGGGGGAGAAACTCAATTCAGACAAGGATTAGGAGTCGAGCACTGTTCAACGAATCGTCTACTTTCTCTAATAATTTATGAAACGTCAAAGCTTTCGCGCTTCGCGCGGGAGGCCTAACACCGACACCCTTTAATGAGCGCGCTTCGCGCGCTCTTTAAGTGATTCACTTGCTCACTACCGCCCCTCCTTAAAATAAGATCCTAGCTCCGCGCCTTCGTTAAAATATATAGCTATGATTTTGACTAAGTTGACGAAATAATTCGTTTATTATGTCGTCGAGGAAAATGATCATTTGCGCATACGCACGTACGATAGATAGTCCATAGGAAAAACTATTTAGCCTTCGGCCCCGGGTTTATAGGGTTAAATTTGTAGATATTGGGACATTTCATTTTGTCGGTAATTGGTGGCTAGTTTTGTCGGTAATCGTTGGCCTCTACACCCCCCCCCCCCCCACTGAAAAGGATCTAGCGACGCCCCTGAGCACAGTTTAACCGGAGCACAGAAACCAACGACCAACGACCAAATACTAATATTAATCTATGAAAGAGGGCAACGACAATCGACCTTGGTTTCAATAAGGATTATGGAATACTGGAATCAACTGGTAACCAATTGAGTCCAGTTGGAATACCAGTTGTCAACTGGTACCAGTTAGGACCAGTTAAAACCACCAGTTGAGAACTGGTACCAGTTTATTCCAGTTAAGTGAACTGGTTTCAATATGGAAATTGGTATAGGATACCAGTTGATTCCAATTAGTTAAAGGGATAGTTGAGTGATGTTTTCAGATCGCAAATGCCTTCAAAGTGCATGGTTATTGCTCTTATTCTTATCTTAAAATTGCTATGAAGGTAATTTTAGACCCCAAAATGTGTGAAATTTAGCCAATACGATCATACCAATTCAGCTCCACTTTAAAAAAAAATACGGTGACCGTTAATTAATTATGTAATTAAAAATAATAAAACATGGGCCGGCTGGTTGTGCGTGATATAAGCAACACGAAAATGCCAACAAAAAACCAACATCGGCATTGGCTGAAAAACGACGTAAAAGGCGTTATTTCGATTTTTCAACGTTTTTTTCAAATTTTTCAAAATATCTAATATTTGTGGTGGTACACAAATATTAGAAATCGTTATATTTCAGCCGTCTCTGAACCAATTTTGATCAAACAAAGATGATTTTGTCATTTAAATATTATATTTTTTTCAAATTTGACACTCAGTTTTTCATTATCTCACAAAAAAATTATTTTGTGTAGCGCCCTCTGCAACAGAACTAGATCCCATTATCAGGTTTCATACTCATCATCAAGCAGGCGCGGATCCAGGGGGGCGAGCAGGCCTTGCAAAAAAAAAAGAGAGAGAGAGAAGGAAAAGAAGGGAAAGGGAAAGAAGAGAGAAAGGAAAAGGAAGAAGACGAAGAAGAAAAGAAAAAGGGGGAAGAAGGAGATCGGGGGGTCGGCAGGGCCTTCCCTTCCAAGCTGTTGCTCCCCCCCCCCCCAATCAAAACAATTAGAGAGAAGGAAGGAAAGGGAAAGAATAAAGGGAAAAGGGAGATAAAGGAAAGGAAAAAAAGAGGAAGAAGGAAAGAACTGAAGGGGGATATCGGTTGCAACATATCAGTCCCGCCAACAAGTTGTGGATCGGGGGGGCCGGGGGGGTCAAAAGGCCCTTGCCCCCCCCCTGCCCCCGGTTTAAAAAAAAGAGAGAAGGAAGGGCAACGGGAAGAGGAGAGCTTAAAGGGAACAAAAAAAGGGAAGAAGAAGAAAAGGATGAAAAGAAGGGGGATCAGCTGCGGTTAATCCCGACAACACCGTGTGGATCGGGGCGAAAGGCCCTTGCCTCCCCAAGCTAACCTAAAAGAGAGAGGAGGAAGGGAAGGGAAAGAAAAAAAGGAGAAAGAAGAAAGGTCAGTTGAGATTTTTCCCGTCAACAAGGTGTAGATCGGGGGGGGGGGGGGGCACTGGCGTACTGTTAGGGGGGACCTGGGGGAAAACAAAATTCAAACGTGGATTATTTCTAATTCCATACCGGTGATTTATAAATGTTGATGAAATGACATAATTTTCCGAGATTTTTCCTCACTTTTTAGTAAATTATACTTTTTATGCGTTTATTTAAAAATAACAAATTCCTAAATTTACAGTCAGGCAAGAAATATGCTTATTAAGATGCCTACGTGTCAGGGCCCGAGTGTATTTTATACACTTCACTTGACATGCGTGCAAGTTTTCGCGGAGATCGGCCGCTTCACGGCCGAGATCTTTAGGGGGCCATAATGCCCCCCCCCCCCCGGCCACGCAGCGGGGGCTAGGGTAGGGGTCAGTTTCCATAAATAAAAAATTAAAAAATAAAATGCAATAATTTTTTAAATAATTTATTGCATTTTACCCCGGTTCCCAACATAAAAAAATCCTCTGTGTGCCCATGCCTTGAGCCATAATGCATGGCCGTCCAGAGGATTTTTTTATGTTGAAAATTTTCTGTTTTTTTAAATAATTTATGGAAACTGTCCCCTACCCTAGTTCCCGTGAAACATGAAAAGGGGCACTAGGATGAGAATGAAAAAGGACTATTTTCATAGTTGAAAAGGGGCATTTATAAGAAGGCGAAGGGCTCTTTGTTAAATAGGGGCACTTATCATAAGGAAAAGGGGCACTTATTAGAAATGAAAGGGGGCATATGTGAAAATATAAGGTGCGTTAATCCGAGTTAAAAAGGGGTAGTTATTAAAGCGGAAAGGGGCACTTCTTACAAAGGAAAAGGGGCAATTGTCAAAGTAAAATGGGCACCTCTAATATTTCAATAGGGCTATTATCAGAGTTGAAGGGGCGCTTAACAAAAATGAAAAGGGGCGCTTCTCGTACCCGAAAAGGGGCACTTACTAGAGATTAAAAAGGGCACTTATGAGAATGGAAAATAGACACTTATTGCAAAGGAAACTGGGAACTTGTCAGGGAAAAGAGGTACATGTCAAAATAAAAGGGGCACATATAAGAGCTGGAAAGGGAGGGGGCACTTTTAAAAATTAATAGGGGCACTTATCTAAGTAATAGGGGCACTTTTTATGTAAAAGGGGTGCTTCTTACAAAGTTAAAGGGGCACTTTTCCTATGGAAAAAGGGGCATTTTTGGGGTACTTGACAAAATGGGGGGCACTGTGCCCCCCCCCCAGGTGCCGCCTCTGTATATAGCCCTATAGCCAAGTTTGTGACAGAAAGATCACTATCATTTTTCTATTTTTTCTGTGATACGACCAGGCGCGTACGCAGGATTTTTTCAAGGGGGGGGGGGGGGGGGGGGTTTAAAGATTTTTTAATCGGGTCGAAAATTTCGCAACGACTCAGCCAGCCGCTGAATAAGCGGGGGGGGGGGGGGGTAAGGTCAACTTTTTTAGGTCAGCCGTTGGTATAATTTTTTTATTTTTTAAATTTTTTTTAAATAAATAAAAATAAAATAAATCCCCAAAGGGAGGGGGGTTCAACCTCAACCCCCACCCCCCCCCCCCTGCGTACGCGCCCGGATACGACGTATAGCCTAGTTATATGCCCATTTATTGTGGCTCCTCCTACTAGCTCCTCCAACTCCTCCCCTCTCCTAGTTCCTCCTCCTTATTTCTTGAAATTCTCTTCTCGATCCTACGATCTTCTTCTTTTTCTTCTTCTTCTTTCTCTCCTCCTTCTTTTTCTTTTTCTCCTCCTCCTTCTTCTTCATTCTAAATTCTTCTTCTGCTTCTTCTTTTTCCTCTTCTCGTTCTCTTGATCCTTCTCCAGGATCCTGAGGGGTGTATCAATGGGGTCGGGGGCATCAAGAGGGTAGTCTGTCTATGGGGTGTTCAGTGCATACGGTACGGAACTGGGTGGGGGGCTCTGACAAGTCAGTGGGTGGGGGTGCTCATTCATCGCGCGCAAGAGATCGAATTCGCGACTATAATTATACCGGTATTAGGTACGCGTATAATATACGTACGTACGTACGTACGTACCGTATGATTACGCATTATGATTCATTTGTGTACTACAGAATTCAGTCGGCCTATAGGCCTATTGAGTATTGTGTATGACTGAGATCTTGACATTTAACGCTCGTCATACCAGTATGAAGACAACATTTGAGAGGGTGAACGATCGTAGATTTAGAGTATAGAACCTGCTCATAGATTATCAAATGTAAGTTGATTTTTTAAATCTTTATATGGGTAGTTATTCTTGTTTGTTAGAGCTAAAAACGCCCACTTTGGCAAAATACAGTGCACCAACGCGGGTTAGTGGGACCGGGGTTAAGGGTTCGACCTGAGGCTGACAGTGAATCAAATACAAAGACGAACGCAAGTCAAAGCAGCTAGCAGCAGGGTCAAACTCAAAGCAAAGTATACAGTTAGACGTAAGATCTTATTCGAGCCCTATTCCGTACTACATTTCGACCACTAGAATCTAGGCCTAAATGATTGATAATGAAATGAGATTGGTCTGTTGCCCAGGATCTGTTGTTCCTTGTGAGTTGTGTTGTGGCTTTAACCAAACTTATGGAGTGGACTAGCCTTAAGGGCTGTCTGGAAATGTTTTTTATGATATGGTATTCCAGAGAGCCTTAACCGGCTCCCATACCACCGCACGGAGAGGCAGGTAAACAAAACCTAAAATGTGTCCCAAACCACACTTTCCCACACCCGACCAATATTGGACAGTGGCCTTGATGAATTTTATGGGCACTGTCCAATATTGGTCGGGTGCAGGAAAGTGTGATTTGGGACATATCTTAGGTTTTGTTTACCTGCCTCTCCGTGCGGTGGTATGGGAGCCGGTTAAGGCTCTCTGGAATACCATATCATAAAAAACATTTCCAGAGAGCTCTTAAGGCTAGAGAGTAGAGTGGACATGATTATAATGAACTTACTTGCAATTTACATGACAAAAATGTTCACCGCTGCCGAGTGTTTGTGATATATTGTACAGGGTATTGGGTGTGTTTTGCATTTGCCAATTTGATGCTGACCTAACGACTATAGCAATTAGCTTAGTGGAATTTTTAGGTGCTCTTTTGGAATTGGCTGAATTCAGCGATGATAAAAGTGTGCATCTTTTTACACTCATTGCAAATAATAATAGTCGGTTCTTGTATAGAGCTCACCTCTGTCAGTGTCAGACACATTTGACACTCCTAGACTCTTCAATTATTACCCGGCTTTAGCATGGCTGCTAATAATATGGCGCTCTAGTATTTTACGGATTTAATTCCTGCCAGGTACAGTGTACCCATTTACCTCATCTTGCTTGAGCATATCAAAAAGAGATTGACTTCTTACCAAACGATTTAAGTTCTGCTGTGAGTATATGCACGCTGTGATCTTGATGGACCGAGACAAGAACAAGATAATGATTGTTGCATGATCCCAACTAGGTCTAGCTCTACTGAGTACTGATCACTAGCAAAATTTAGAGACTGAATCTTACCAGTATTGGGATCCATTGCTTTTTGTGTCAAATGGATGCGCTTCTCATCCAAAGTCCAATTATTTGAGTTTTCAATTGATGCAAATTATCTTTCCAGGGTGAGAGGATCCCGACCCGTTCAATATGACTTCAAGCGGGTTGGTCGTTCCCATCGTATTGTGGGGCAAGACAGCCCCTACTCACTGCATATCGGCCATTTTGGTGACCAGCGATCAGCAGACCATTATCACAGGGTGTCACGATGGTCAGGTCATCCTGTGGGACCTCAATGATAACATGAAGGTGAGATATACATGTACATGTAGACTGATCATGTACATGGTTACTTCTCAGTCGATTAAAGTTTTTACAAATGTGTTTAGACAATAAAAGTCTTCATTATCATCATCATCATTAGCAGTCTTCTCGGCCAATGTGAGTATTTTGACGTGGGACCTGCATTAGAATCAGCACCTGAGAGTTTGTAAAGTCTTAATCCATTAAAGTTCTCCAGTTGTCTTGGCTTTACTTTAATTTTGTTATACGGTATTTAGGGGGAGACTCTTCTAAGAAAAGAAAGACAATTTTGACTCTGAGTTGTTTCTGTATCTAAACAATTGTGTCCACATTGCAAAGTACTTGATTAAAAACTTTTGTCAATTAAAGTATGGCAGGTGGTAGGTTCCGTCTTCTTGGAAAATGTAAATAGGTCATTGAAAAATGGGACTTACAGGTACTTTCAGATGATGAGTTTTTACTACATCACTTTCATTCTAATCTTTTCCTGATGATGTTTTGTCTAGGTGGTACCACGGAATATGCTTTTTGGGCACTCCTCTTCCATCACGTGTTTGGCCAGAGCCAATGAAAATTGGGAATCTGCAAACTTTGTCAGTGCTGCAGAAAATGGGTAAGAATCTTGTCTGTATGTCTGTTTGTCCATCTGTCTATCCATTCATGCGTTTGTCTTTTTGCTTGTTTGTTTGTTTTATACTAGTTTGCGGCTATGCTCTACAAATATCTTCTCTTTTGTATTAGATCAAGAAGGTGAAGAATTAAAAACTGGTACACTTTCTTGTTTTTTCTTTCTTTCTTTTACTGTACCGATATTCCAGTAGTGGAAAGGATTTTTTAATAACAGAAATGGCAGAATATCCTGCTTTTTCATCACTGTGTAGACTTACAGTGATACTTTTAGTTTTATATGTATGTATTCCATCATATTTTACAGTGAAATTTTCCTGTGGGATGTTTCTGATGGCAGATGTATAGAACAAACCAAGGTCCCAGGAGTTCACCTCACAATGCATGTAAGTGTCGAGATGGTTATACAACGTCATCGGTACATTTATTATTGATACATGCAGGGTATTGCGTTTTTATTATTATGGTTGCATATAAAGCTTCAGTGCTTAAAAGCAATACTGGGTAATTTTAAAATTCTAACTCTTGTTAGTTGGAATGTGTTGATTGGAAACTTGGTGACTTGATTATAAAGAATAGTATTTGCAAAATATTAAGGAAAGGTAGAGTACACCAGGTAGTATATATCAACTGAAATAGTCAGCCATTAAATCTTGCAATCAAATTATCTGAAATGTTAATGCACATAATATTAATAAGACTAATTTATGTTTAGCTTGATACATCACAGATAAGTTTATATAGAATATTCATCTTTTTAATTACAAATAGTGTCCACTATCTCTTTTCTGAGTGTGTATATATATATATACAAATATACAATGACACTCGAGGATCTAGCTGAAACTATTCGCATCAAAGGAACATCAACTAGTACTATTGTACTAATGATGTTCCTGAGTGTGAATAGTTTTAGCTTGTTCCGAGAATGAGTCATTTTATATTTGTTTTATATCCCTTCCATCTGTATTATTCCTACACTTCTGTAATGACATGAACTTTATACTCACATTCACATCTTACATACAGATCTAAAAGAAATTAAAGAAAATTGCACCGCTCAAATGAAACATCTAAGGATGTAAATATGTTTAGCTGGCGCTATTGCATTAGTGTAGTGTAATTATCGCGCGCACAGCGCAAATTGCATGTGCTCGAGCGCCGTGACAGCCCGGTAGTTGGCCATGCGGCGCAGAGACATTGGAATCCTGTACGCTCACTGATGTCACGCATAGTCCGATTATTCCCTAGGGATAAAAGGAACTATGCGTGACGTCAGCAATAAAAAAAACTATTCCGATGTAGTCGGCAGGAAACGTCTTTTATATTAAAACTATTCTTTTTCTCGTTGTGTACACACCTAATGCAACATACTTATGATAAGGGATATAAATACAATTATAGTCATCAAGGTTGGATTGAATCTTTTGAGGTTGAGATATTATTGCCTTGATAAATTCACTGGGACAGTTCTTCATGGTTGACTTATCCTTTAAAGAGAAGATTGAATTCTGGTGAAGCTGAAAAAATATATTGCAAGTTTTCTTATTCTTTGTATGTCAGTTTGGAAGAATGCCATAACAGATATGTCTCCTGAAAAGGATTGCTCATAAAAAATAAAATATGACAAGTAATAGCTTTCCAATATTTGTATGTAGTCCTATATACCCTTTTCTGCGTGCAGTGCATTTGATCTTTAGCAAGATTGAGTATATTTCTTTGGTTTTTATCATTCCAAAACTTCACAATATATAGATCGATTGTTATGTACCTGGTAGGAATTTATTCCTTGAAATGCTAGAGCGCCGTATGGCAGCCGTGCTTAAGCCGGGGTAATAATCGGGAGCGCCAGGAGGGTCAAATCTGACTGACATGAGCGCTATACAAGAACCCATTATTATTATTATTATTATTATTATATTACACTATTAACCTTTTCCAATGCTTGCAGATATTTTCTTTCACAGTCTTATTGCGTGACCAATACTCGGCTTTATCAGACTGTAAACCAACCATACTATCATTTCTTCACAGCCTTACCAAGTAACACAGGGTTCAAGCAGAGAATGGCGTATCATCTGTCAGGGATACTATCCTGATATTCATGTCCTTGATGCTGGTAGTTTAGAACTTCTCTACACCCTCTCCTCTAAGGTAGCTCCCGATTGGATCTCTGCCCTCTGCGTCACTCGCCCCCTCAAACGACAAGGTAAATCATTGTCAAACTAGAAAAATTTGTGATTTTTTTTTTTTTTTTGTGTGTGTGTGCAAGTGGTCCAAATTTGTTTAAGTTTCATGGATTGGAAAGTTTCAAACAAGAGTCTTTGATTATTTGAGTAAGTTCCATGCTGCATGGTTTAACAGTAGTCTTGTGATTGCGACAAAAAGCTTTTTTTAATCGACTGTGCAGTGTTGCATCAATTGAGATTAAGAAGAGTCAAGAATCCCTAGCTCACTCCCAACAAGATGTCAGATGTTCGTAGCTTATTTTCTTTCCTTCCTAATTCGTACCTATTTTGAATTCATTTTGAATGGTGTAGAGGATGTCGTGATAGGGATTTCTACATCAGGAATGCTGAAGGTTTGGAACCTGACTGGCAATGATAAGGTGAGTTTCTTAGCTAGAACTTGAGATTCAATTGCATCCTTTCTATATGTGATGCAACATAGCTTTTAACAAGAGACAATCTGCAAAATGATTTTGAAGAAGTTGTCTTCCTCATTCCTATTTTTCAAGTGAGTTTTAAAGTGCATGCAAATTATCTGAATACAATATTTTTATGTTTGTTATATTGAGAAAGTACAGAAATCCTTATGCTGCAATATTATATCTTATTCTCTTAATTCAAAAGCATTAAGTAACATCATTTGTGTGTGTGAAAACACAAAATTGCAGAAGGTAAATTCCTTACAAGTTAATCTGTTTATTATTAAAGTAATCTTTTGTTTTTTTGTTCATTGTTTGTTCCTATGTTTATTTTCAGTCATTACTAAACTCTATCATTTGAAACTGTAGAATTGCTTGTTTTATTTTGTCTGTCATTTCGTTATCAAAGAGAACACCAATGTTTTGAATTAAAATTGTAAAAAATCCCATTTTACTTTCCAATTGTGGTATATAGCAGGACAGTGAGCCAAAAAATGAGGAGGAATGTAAGCAGCTCAGATGCAGGAATGCCAGGTCTCTAGCTGTATGCGCTTTCACTCTCAGAACAGTGCTCGTTGTGTGTAGTAAACAATGGCAGGTAAGTGCATATGTGCTGGCTATATGTTGTTCTCCAAGCCAATTCAGCACTTGTTACAGAGTATTAATCCGTTAAATACTAAAATCTATCACTCCTATAGACTTGATACTGGAACTACCTGGTTCCCATAGGCAATGCGTTAAGAATTGCTTCTCAACAGTATATTGATTTTTTTTAATTATATGTATTGAAATTCATAATCCCAACATGGTACACATTCAGGTGACTTCAGTTATGGACGTTAAAATATTGACATATTCTTAAGAACAAACAATTTCATTCAAAGTGGTCATTTCTTTTCATTGTTTCACATTTTTATTTGAGAATTTCCTGTCATTTGTGAATCATTGATTTGTATAAATCAATTTCACATTAGGAAACTTGTTCCTAATTGTTTTAGGGGAGCCTTCCAAAGTTGCGACTGTGCCCGGACGCGTCGGGGCGCGATGAATAGAACAGTGGCGTCCCAAGAGACGCATTGAGGCGCAAAGGGGCGCGAAGGGGCGCAATAGTCACCCTCACCTGATTCTTGCATATGAAAAGAAACCGTCTATTGTTAGTATAAACCCGCTCTATTCTTCTTGCGCCCTTTTGCGCCCCACCAGGCGATGGAAGATTATCTCTCCCGTCATTGTTCTCGCTCGTGATGCGCGGTACAGCTTAAACTTGATATACAGAAAGTATTTGTCGGCCAAAGCCTGTCTTCCCCTCCTCCGGTTTTCGTTCTGATAAACTTTCCATTGTTTGTAAAAAAAAATGATGTATTCTTCTCGCGTCGCGATCTATTCTTCTCGCGCCGTTTTGCGTCGTAACGGGCGGGGTATTACCTTTCCAATCATTGTGGCGAAGCTTTGCGATGTACATTACTACAGCACAGCATGAACTTCTCTGGTGGGATCGTCTTTGTTTTGGGGGGCAATCAACACACTCGTTCATCTTGATCAGAATACATTATGATTTATTTTTGTTGGGTTTAATACGCCTCCTTTTAATTTTTGTGACGACTGTATGAAATGTGAAATAAAGATGACTATGTACGATTAATGGTTGTTTAATTGCGAGCTTAATTGTCCCCAACAACAAAAAATAAAAGACGAATGATGTGAATGACTACATGTATGCGGTTATAGTCGGCAAATTGATTACTGTTTGGGTCGCTTGTGTATGTTTGTAATTTGAATGATTATCAACATATTTGTATAATTCCCATATCGCGATATGATTCTAGCGTCGTATAATGGACAAAGGAATTATCTTTCTCTCTCGTCATTCATATTCACGCTACGCGTTGCACATCGCCACAGCCTGAGCTTGGAAGAATTTATATTTTGTCAGTCTAATCCTTTTTTTTTCTCCTCCCATGACTTGGTTCTAATAAATTGAAGGTTTGCTTATTAGGGATAAGAAGGATAACATCAAACAAACGATTTACTCAAGATGACGCTCTTTTCATTTCACCTCGCTGTTTGATAAAGTAGAGTTTTACGGAGCGAATACAAAAGAAAAGTTCGCTCTAAGGCCAAATAAAAGTTTTTTTGTATTAGTGTCCTGTTTTTTCGAAAACTAGGAAGGAGGAGGCCCTCTCTTTTCTTTTCTTTTTCTTTCAAAATGGCCGCTCAAAATGGCCGCTCGGTACATTTTCCCTGACAGTCGGGCTATTTTTCAAAATGGCCGCCGACATCTTTTAACTTTTAAAAAAAATCAGTAATAGATCCATTTTAGTATTGTTTTTCATATTATTTCCCCAAAAATAAAAAATAGGAGGCGGCCCCCAAAAAGGAAGCAGGCGGGGACGCTAAACATGTATATTTTGTTAAGTGGCCTCAGGGAAAAAAAAAACATAAAATGCCGTGGCAGGATCTCACGCCCGAGATATGCCTTCGAAAATTGCCCGTCCAAAAGGCGTTTTAAATCATAATAATTCCATAGCTCTTTTTAAAAGTGGAATAAATAGAAAAAAGAGTCCGGGAACTATATCGAGATTATAAAACATGTGTGTCATGAAGATGTAAACAAAAAAGTGTAGCCTGATGGTGATAAAGTTGAGCAGCAATTGGAAATGCAATACAAAACATTAATCAGTTCATGATGATAATTAATCATTCGACACAACATTCGAATCATTTATTCGTAGATTTGTATAATTAAGTGGCGAAAGTGAAATTTTGAAATCTTAATGCACAGATACAAAAAACATACCAAACATGTTTTGATTCTAATTCTAAAAAAAAAAAACGGCAAATTTTAAACGATCTTTTTAAAAGGAGGGAGGCGCTATAGCCCAGTGGTAGAGCAGAGCAGCTCGTAACCGGGAGCTCCCTGGTTAGAAACCAAGTCGATATGCTATTGTAAGGCATAACTCAACATTACATTTCGTTCGGAGAGGATCTTAAACCCGCCGGTCCCCTGTTTGCCAAATTCAGAGCATACACATGCTTCATATATAGCAGTCAGGAAAAAAAAAAGCGAACGGTACAGGAAGCTACCTTTTATGGATAGGCCTAAATTGAAGGTTTGGCTTAACTAGGGAGAAGAAGGATAACATCAAACAATAGATCTACTCATGATGACGCTCTTTTCATTTCACCTCGCTGTAAGATAAAGTAGAGTTCTATGGAGCGAATACAAAAGAAAAGTTCGCTCTAAAGGTAAAAACATAGAATGCCGTGGCAGGATTTCACGCGACTATTGTTTGATCGCTATAATTGTCCGACTTGCTATATATTCTTGTTTAGCTACACATATGTGTGTGTGTGAGAGAGGGGCGCCGCGGCGAAGTGAACGGCCGGACCAAAATGGCAGAGGTCAATCAGGAGGGCTCCGCTCGCTAGTTATAAGGACCGCTAATTCATTGGACAACTATTCATGAAGACCGCTATTCGTAATTTGAGAACATGGTCATTATGTATAAGGGTCATGAATTCGTAATACGACATCCCCCCTCCCCAAAACTAAATAAATAAATAGAAAACATGAATAGATTAATAAACTTAACTAATGATACAATAACAAATAATGCCCGGTAATTGGGAATAGCCGCCTATGAGCGGAACAATGGGCGCAACAACTATTAGCTGCTCAAAGAGCTGTCTTTTGTCATTGCGTTGCAAAAACAGAGTGCTTTTAAAAGTTACATGTACTATAATATCCGTATGCTATATAACACCCAATGTGAACATGACGTGTTCAGGCCTTATAACTATATACAGTGCACGTTAAAACAAAAGACTTTACTAGCGCTAGCTAACAAATATGAAACGTCAAAACGTCACGAACATTGAAGATAACAAATTGTTAAGACAAATGACACCACCAATAAAGTTTCTTCGCGAAGAAATATTCGATCGAATTTCATGTTTGGAACAGATAGGCGATTTCGAATTGTTCAATCTACCGAAACGTTTTGATGATGCAGGCTCCCGACAATACGACTATCATTTGTGTAATATCTTTAATTTGCAGATGTTTGTTTGTTTTGTATGACATATTTATAAACGCCCTATAATCTTATTTCAAGCAGAATCTTTCAATCTCTTTGATTATAAGTATCATTTTTAAATCACGGGTATTTAAATACAATAGCTGATTTTGCGAAGATTTAGAGAACCTACGTTTCTATTCTTTAAATCGATCTTGCATGAGAAAGAACAGAGTGATGATATAGATATATGACCTATTTTGATCGGATGACAGAACAAAATAAATGTAATATGAAACAAATAATGTGTCAAAACATACAGAAGGAATACAATTATACATATCGTTTTTGTTTTGTTCGTGAAGAAATTAATATAATACAAGTAGTGAACACATTAATGAACAGAAATGAACAATCATAACAACGTCAACGCCTACACAACTTCGATATTTGGGAGGAAAATAACAATCAGAACAACAATCTAAATCAATGTCTTGTACGTAAAATAATAATAAAACATATCAGTAGCCAAAGTGAAAATTTTAGAGTCAAATCTTTCAAGACGAGAGCGGACACACACGCGGGGATTACATGAATAACTAATGCGTAGGAACGGGCGCGAAAGCTTTTCAAATTCACAAATTCACAATTCACAAAAAGCGCTTCGCCTTTAAGCGCACCCCTCCCCCCCCCCACCCCGAATGAGTGTTATGTAGGGTACGCATATGCATTTTCCCTCCTTTTGAAAACAGTCCCCTAAGTCATTTGTGTGTACTAGACGAGCCGGACTTTGGTGCGTGAAAAGTACCCCTTTACCAGACAGTAACAATGAGTCTCCAAACAATAGCCAGATTTGATATTCATATTGTGAGCATGTGCTTAGTTATATCGGGATTCCCTGGTTATATTGAAGACGTGGGTTAATATCTGTTTGCCCAGTATTTCTCGCTGATTGTTTGACCAACATTAAATTGCTATTGTCCAGCTGACTTTTCTAAAGGCTTTTCTACCCTCGGCGCTAAAGGGATTGCGGAAAATTTCAACACTATTTGTGTTTCTTGATGACCCAGTAGAAGAAGAATAAGGGCTACCCTGCCCCCCCCCCCCCCCCGAAAAAAAATGTCCCAAAACAACGCAATCATTATTAATTCCGTTTACTACTTGATACCAGCACGTGCATGATGGATCCCCCGGATGGATCCTTATTTAGACAGTGAGACAGTTCTGTTACGAGAAGCAATTCAACGAATTGCCATGGCTTGTATATGTTCTAGAACGCACTACGCTCTTTCGATAACACGTGGCCCCTATTCAGCACTACATATACGTATTTTAGTTATTCTTAACAATGACCTAGATCTAAAACTGGCCGCGGATGTAACCCCCCCCCCCTCCCTTCGTCGCAAAGAAATATTCGATAAAATTCTTTGACACAGAATGATAAACTAATTTCTTCTTGAGATATGTTTGGGGTGAAATTTCAAACATCATTTCCTGGTAACTCTTTTTTTTTTAATGCATGCTCTATTCTTACGATTTAGGCATAATTTACTATGTTGATTTGCAATTGATAATCTCCCTGGGAGTTTTGCGATATCCCCGATGATACGGGTACAGTGTATTTAACTTTCTTCGTAACATTAGTGTTTTGCAAAGAAAGAACATTCTGAAAATGAGCGTCTTCCTTCTAACGAAACATATTGATGATGTTCCCGACAATACGGATATCATTTGCATTAAAAAAATCGTAATACAGATAAAACGCTTTTTAAATCCAATTCAAGGAGAAACTATGACATTCTTGATTAAGTATCATTTTCAACATCACGGATTTTAAAATACGTTCTCTAATTTTAAGAAGATTCAAAGGATCTATGTATTGAAATAACAGACTGATGATATAATTATATGATTTATAATGATCATACGACAGAACTGTTTACAAGATGCAACAAAAATTGTTTAAAAAAAACAAGAAAATCGAAACATGCGATAACATCGCTATAAGGAAATATAAAATTACAATTAAAGTGTCAAAACATGCACGAGGAAAACAATGTCAGAGAGAGTGGGGTAAGTATAAAAATAAATTTGTTTTTTTCGTGAACAAATCAATTTGTATTAAAATTGATACAGTATATTGAACACAATCATGAACAGAACAGGAGGAGATGAAAAAATGAACAATCATGCCAACGTTAACGCCTACAGATTTCCGATTTCGAGAGGAAAATAAACAATCAGAACAAACATTGTAACCAATGTCATGTACGTAAAATAATATTAAAACAAATCAGTAGCCAAAGTAATGCTTTTCAGAGTCAAATCTCGCAAGACGAGAGCGACACACAAGCGGGCACTACATGAATAACTAATGCGCCGGACCGGGCGCGAAAGGGCGCGAAAGCTATTCAAAGTTTAAGCTCCCATTCACAAATGTCAAGTGCTTCACCGGGGCGCGCCCCGGCGGGGTAATTTCGTAACAATGAGACTCCAAACAATAGCCAGATTTTAATGAGCTGGCAACCAACTGAAGTCCTCTCCTATCCGACGCAAAAAGGCGCTAATGGGCGCATAAAGGCGCCTCCTTTGTTCTCATATCCTGCTCTGCGCCCCGACGCGTCGCAACACAGTCGCAACTTTGGAAGGCTCCCCTTAGAGAGTGTTATAGATTTTCATTTGACAGCTAAAACAAGAAAGGTGATTTAATTCTTTACTGGCTTGTACAAGTGCGACATTCAGCTTTTGTCTCTCATACTGCGAACATGTAGCATATATTCTGAAATCAATATATCACTCCAGGCTTTTGATCCATGAGCTAAATATGTCACAACCTTGACACATTGACTCTTGTGCTCGGACACCATACAGATTTGTGATGCGGGCGATTTCTCCCAGCTATGCGTCCAGTACTGTGAGAAGGGTCAGCATTGGTCTGGTGGTGATTTCATTGCTGCTGACCGCGTCCTGGTATGGAGTAACCAAGGCAAAGGTTACCTCTATCAGCTACCATCCAAGTATGCATTTTTTATTCACTTGAATGTATAATTCCATATTGTTTTCTCAGGGTTGAAGTATTGTTTTTGTATATTCTCAAGCTAACCATTTCCACTTTTTTGTTGTGTAACTCTCTAAGTCTCCATGATTAATGGAGTATTGTTAGGAAGATAACTATCCCAGTGATGTTGAAAAGGATGCAGACGCATGTTAAAGAAAGTTATTTTTAATAGAAAGATATATTATTATATGAAATACAAAAGGCTTGTAAAAGTCATGGAGTTCCTGACTGACCTAAAGGTTTATAATTATCATTGCAGCATGAGCTAAATTCAAGGATTTTGTTTCAGAATCTGAGACAAAGTTACAGGTCCCTTTAAAGTCATTTGGGTGATTTTCTTTTTTTTTGCAATACAATTTGTATCAGGCTTGATCCAGGCAAATCATTAAATAATATAGTTATGACCATAATGAGCTAAAATGTCTTTTAATTTTAGCTGCATCCCTGAGAGTGATGATTTCCGAAGTAACATCGGTCAGAACCAGAACATTCCTAGCGCCAAACCCTTTCTCTACTGTATCCTTGAAGCACCCATGCACAAGGTATTTGGCACTCAAAAGTATTGATTGAATGATTTATTATGTATTTAATTTATTCATGTATTTATTTCTATATTCTTTTAATCATTAATATTTGTTTATTTGTTTATTTATTCAGTCATTCATTTCATTAATTTAATTTATTGATTATCATATCTTATTCATGTATTTATTTATTTATCATATTTTATTGCGGAGGTGAGCTTTACCATCATACATGTATGCCTTCTTGGATTAATGTAATGGTACTAATGATATATATAATGTTTGTGTCAAGTCATGTTCAAGACACTGTGGTATTGCTCTTAATATCATTAGGAATTCAGGTAGTGTGTTTTTACATATGTTTGATTAATTTAAGTACATGTACTACACACACATTGATATTTAACCTGAAATATGAAATGAACTGTGATTATTGACAAAAATCCCGATTATGGCTTTTTCTTTTTATTTCTCTATCTTTAATTTTAGTATTATCAGAACATCATATTATCTTTTGTATTTTTTGTTTTACTTTGTTTCCATCTATTCAGTGCAAATTGCAATATTTGATATTAAAGATAACACACTTATTCCTAAACTGAAAAGACACAGGTTCCTCAAAGCTCATGAATTATTTCTCACTAGAATATACATTCTTCTACTCAGCCACTCTCTTGCTCTCCTGCAATGACGTTCTTCTACGGTCGACGTGGCCCATTCTACAAGCTGTTTGCATGTGGGGATTCCTCAGGAAGGGTTACTGTGTGGAAGGTACCCGAGGTATCGGACAAAGAGCTCAGCTATCTCAAACAAGAAGAGTTTGATACACTACCAGGTAGATTGAATGTTCTTCAGTCATATTCAGCTTATTGATGTTCCTGTTTATACCAAACTAGAACTTATTCTAATCAAAAGAACCATGATACCAGGGAAGTGTTTCACAATGCCTTTTGACAAATGGCAAAAATTAGTGACAAATCTGCTGATTACCAATCAGAAGCAAGGATTTCAATAGCTTATTAAAAAAAAACTGTCATTTGTCACTGATGACAAGTTTTGTGAAATGGGGCCCTAGTATGGCTTAACTCCGAGCCTTAGTGTGTTTTCATGTATCCTTGTCTTTCCAAGGAGAAATAGAACAATAACAATTAAACATCTTCCGTACCCAGGGTGGCCTCATCAGTTATTGTAAACTGCAAACTTGGTGTCTCCTTGTTGATTTCATGGTCAGTGTATCTGAACTGTTTAATTACCTGTACATGATGGGTATAAATGGTATGTAAAAACATGGGTAGAACCTTATCATCACTTAAAAGACAAAATAATTGACTTGGGGAGGTGGACAGTTGGTGCACCATGAATCACTAGAGTAATTTAAACCAGGGTTAGCTTAGTCTGCTTGTATGAATAGGGTCATAGAGTATATTCATTACAGCAGTCACATATTTGATATTTCATATGATTTTTATACAGTGATGCCCCCAACAGCAAGCAACAGCCTCAAATCAACGTGGGAATCTTGTAGTCCCAAACCTAGCGGTATCATAGACCAACTGGTAAGAATAGAACTGTGTCATATAAATTCAATTCCTATCTGTAACATGTAACAATATATTGAAAGTATAATCTACAGCAAATGCTGAAAATGTGAAGCCGTATATATTATTATGAGGGAATAAAGAAGACCAGAAATGGTTATTTTACAAAAACATGAAAATAAAATAATCCACCTGTTGATCTACAAAAGATTGTAGATGTTATGACTTTTGAAACGGTACTTCAGTAAATGTTGTTGTAATTTACTTTGGGGTGGAGGGAAGGGAGGAGGTGTTAATATTCTACAGTTGCATATGCAAATGAGATAGGACATTGCTCCAGGATTTATTTCGTTAAAAAATATAAAGGTGGGCCGGCTGGAGCTGTGCCTTGGTATTTAGGTATTGAGGGTGAGACATACATGGTGTTTGTTCCAGGGTTGAAATGAGGAAATCAACGAGTGCTAAAATTGAATGCAGAGCGATTTGTTTCCAGTGCATACATCATGCCTCTATTGGTTAGTTTTAATTAGTCGACGCCTAAACTGTATAAGATATGTCATACCCTTTCCACTTTAATACATGTTTGCACATCTGAACTTGTTTTGCCAGAATGTATCCAGTGATGGTACACAGGAGAAACAGCTTGTGGTAACGTCCAGTGTGTACATCCCTAGTCAGGGTTGGATAGTATGCGGAAGACAAGATGGCAGCATCGCAATCGTACCGGCCGTACAGACGGCCATCGCACAGCTACTCGAAGGTCCTCATACTGCACGGAGAGGTAGGTATTTGATGATCCTCATTCAGAATAGAGAGGAAGCCAGTAACATGTGTTTTTAAGAAGTTGATATTATATGTTGATAATTTTTCACTGGGCTTGGCATTCGCACGTGCCCACGATTTATGGGGGCTCACAATGTCAGAAGGGACCCCAAAATTAAAAAAATTCTCATGCACATAGACTCTCAAAATTACACATTTCACTCCAGACCAGTTAGTATGAAGCCCTGGTTAACAGTAATTTTGAAAGAAAAAAAATTCATTGAATAAAAGTTACCTGGTAAAGGTGATTTTGCTTTTCTGATGCTTGGTTTTTATGTTTACTTGTGTTTTTGTATCCAAGGCACTCCTTGGAGGCAAAAACACAAAAACAATTACCCTAGCTTACATTTCAGTGCCAAATCATAGGATCTACTGTACTCATTTGGAGGACATGCTTTAATAGTCCTATTGTAGTCCATCCACTCAGCTCATTTTAAGCTCATATCCTTCCAGGCTGGCCGCCCCATCGGATCCTACGAGGTCACCAAGGCAAGGTGACCTGCCTGATGTACCCCCATCAGGAGAATAGCCGCTATGACCCCTCCTACTTGGTGTCGGGCGGAGTGGACTTCACCATCACCCTCTGGGATATATTCGCTGGTAGCATGATGCATACCTTCTGTGTCCATGGAGGAGAACTCACAAGGATTGTCATCCCACCTGCATCATGCAATGTGAGAACAACATTTTTTCCTTCTCCTATTTCACCAACTCCCACTATGAACATGATGGACAAAGAATTTGTCACATGCATATTCACCTGTTCTACACATTTTTACATAATAGCAGTGAAGGGATATTCCTTTGTCTACCACAGCAAATGTTGAGGGTAGAATGAGGAACTGTATATTTTGTCCTCTTTCTTTGTCCGTCATGTTCATAGTGTTCACAGATGTTTGTGTGTTTCTTTTTACAGACTCTTCTTTAATACTTGAATACGAGACTTTATAGTAAAAGAATCTATTAACAGGGTTTGGGCTCCCCACTTGTGCAGGATTGTGAATATTATGAAGCGCAAGACTCTAGGTCCCCCAAATGGAGAGTCGATTGAAGAGTAAATATGATTCTAGGCCGATTGGGGGAATTATTATGTCGTAGAAATATAAGATTATGGTGAGACTTTCTTTCATTTTCTTTACAACACTCAAGTTAGTGCTCAAGGCCATTTAAAAGCTGTTTTTAGACTAGCTTCACTTTTAAGCTTAAAAAATAAATATCATGGTATGTGTGATATTCTATGAGTCACCTCGATTACCATCAAATTGGAATTAACCTTCAAGTGCATTGTGATTAACCATTCTCAACAAAATCGTCTGTGTGTAACAATTGATGTTTGTTTCTTTCCTACTTCCCTCCAGGCTCGAGTGCTGACATGCGTTTGCACCGTAGCCAGCGATCACTCGGTGGCTCTGCTGAGCCTACGAGATAGGAAGTGCATGCTTCTGGCCAGTCGACACCTGTTCCCCATCAGGCACATTAAGTGGCGACCGGCAGAAGACTTCCTCATTGTTGGACTGGAAGACAACAGCGTGTTTGTCTGGCAGATGGAGACAGGTATGGAAACTGTTGTTAGAACAGATTGTTGATCTATGTGGAAAAAGATCTGAGAGAAATGAGAAAAAGTATTAGAGAAAATTTATCAGAGATTGTTATGCATGAGAAAGAGGTATGAAAGTTGTCAGAATATCAATCCTTCAGAGAGTGTTGATGACTACTTGGTTTAAAATAGAAAACAGGTTACTAACTCTGAGGGGCTTCTCTATTGATTAGAATAGACCAGTTCACGGTTAGCATATGTTCCAAATGACCCCGAATATCCACAGATCTTCAAAACATGAAGAGTTCCCACTTTGTACATTTTTTAATAATTATTTCTACAGCGATGGAGGTGCTACATTTATAAACAGCCTTTGTTTCCCCTTTTCAAAGAATAATTCCACCTGTCATGGAGTGCACTGCTTGTGCATAAATTAATAATGATTACATAACTTTCATGAGCACGTACCCAGTATTTTGTCTCTGTGTATTTCACAATTTGGTCTGCAATGGTCTTTATCCGCTCATGCTCAGACTGCAACTATGAACTGGCTTATTGCTTTGAGGAAACCAAATGTATTGGATCCTAAAATGCTTTTTTTAATTTTTTTTTTTCAATCAGGTCACTTGGACAGAGTAGCTGAAGGTAGTACTGCAGAAGACATGCTTGAGGCTTGTGATGCTGTAGGAGAGACAACAGAGATGATGCTGACTCCAGCCCAAAGCATCGCCCAGGCCTTCCGTCGTCGCTCCCTGACGGCCATTAGGAACGCAGCCCACCGTACCCTCCTTGCTGCTGCCCAAGGCTCCATGCTCAATGTAGCTAGCGGAGGAGACATAGCAGACAAGGACCCCAATCATGCCCTCACCATCCAGGCCATCAAGTCCAACGTCAAAGATCCAGACTTTCATGTGCTGTTCTTCGATGCTGAGAACCTCATTGTCCAGCTCTTGACAGACAAGAACCTGATCCCAGGGATTATCAACAAGGGCGCGCAGGGGGAGCTGGCAAAGATGGCTGCCCACGCTGCCAAGGCAGGATCAGGACAATCACCAAAGCTGTCTCAAAAGTTTGTTGGTTTCATCTCAGAGCAGATCAAGAAGCAAATAGGGGACAGCGACTCAGATTCAGATGAGCTGGGTCCATTGCGTCCGCCAAGGGCATCGCAGTCTAAGGGTGGAGCCAAGCGCAGGGGACCTAAGCATTTGACCCTGGACTCTAATCACCTCACACTAGACATTGCACAACTCTTCATGTCTTGCCTCCATGCTTGGGGCTTGGACCCATCTTTGGATGAGATTTGCAAAGATAAGCTGGGGCTGCTGAAGCCGTTCTGCCCAGTTTCGTTTGGTCTGCTGTCCCATGGTGCCCACATGTCTCTCATGCTTCCTGGATGGCACCATTTGATGGCACAGGAAGTCACTCCAGCTCACTCACCAGACCCCAGTACAATGTCTGCCAAAGAAGCCCTGGAACTCAAGAAGAGAAGCCAGCAGGTAAAAATGCCTCTATCTTTGTCAAAGTATGTCGAAGTTGCTGCTTATATATATATTTTTTTTTAATTCTTGTGAAGGAATATAATGACTTTAGGATAGTGAGTTCACTACTTATTTGATTGCTGCCCTGCTCTGGGTTTTACATGTACTGTTGGCTGATTGTACTCTCTCTCTCTCTCTCTCTCTCTCTCATTCTGTGCTCATCTCATTGTTGCATACCAGTCATATCTTTTATTCTCTCAATCAATGTTTTCTCTTGCCTCCTCCCTCCCTCCCTCCAGGAGCTACAATCTATTGCTAATGAGGCACCCAAGCCTGGCTACCTAGGTCATTGGGAGTTATCACGGGCAGTCACCACTCAGCATCTTCTCTCAGTCATCTCAGTGGCTAACACCCTCATGGGAATGAACAATGCAAGCTTCGTCATGCTCTCACACCTACGCAAAGCCAAGCCAAAGAGGTAAGAAACTTTAAATGTCTGAACATTTTGAAAAGTCCATGCATTGTTCCCTGAAGATTTCTGCAGCTAATTTGGATATGAAAAGGAATAGATACAAATGCATCGTTTGCTGTACAAATATTTCATGCTTTCACTCAAAGTTGTCTTGTGACAGAATATGCATACAATAACAAAGCGATTATGATGAAGAAATCATGTTGATCTTTCTAGAGATACCTATTTCTATCAAATGATACTTGGAAGAGAAAAAAAATAATAGAATAGTCTTATCTAGAAAAGAAAATATGCATGTTGCACAGCATTGCAGTGTGTGTGTAATAAAAATGTTTCATTATTTCATAGGGCTTCCTATAGCTTTCACTCTATTTTTTGATTTGTTCATATTTGTGTAGATCCTCCAGCAAGGGCAAAGATTCAACAGATAATGGAACTGATGATTTAGCAGACCTCACTCCAGAACAAGCACAAATCAAACAAGGTGAGATTTTGCAGTTTCTTTACCCTTTAAATATTATTAAGAGCAGTAGATATCAAATGTAATAGTAAAGATGTAAGGGTTGTAATAACAGAAAAAATCCTCCCCCCCCCCCCCCCCCCCGGGAAAAATTTTTTTAATTAATTAATTAATTAATTTAAAAATAAATAAATAAATTTTAAAAAAAATTGTGGGATTATAAAGGAGGTGGTAAATCTGTGAAATTCACTTTAAATTTTAAAAACAAGTAATTTATTCATGTTTAAAAGAAGTAAATTCTTTTTTTCACCCATGAGTTTAAAGTTACACAGTTTGGATTGGTTTTCTTTAAATCAGAATCTGCTGCCTCATACTTCCTTTAGATTGATCCTCTAGATTGATAATAACATGTTTGTTTTGTGATTATATCCGGTATAGGATGGAGTCTTTTGGCTGCCTTGCACTGTGTTTTGCTACCTGACCTGCTAGGCAGTGTTCATTACAAACCTCCATACTTGGAGATGCTGGCAAGGAGATGGCAAGATAGATGTCTAGAGGTAAGACTACATCAGGGTTTCTATCTTCATCAAAGCCCTTCTTACATTTAAGACTATAATAATAATAATAATATTATTTAGCTTTTGTATAGTGTTTAATATAAATGTCTCTAAGCGCTTTACAGATATACTATTACCCCGGTCATTGCATTCCAGCCAGGCGTTACTTTGAGTTTAAAAACTGTTTGACCAACAATGACGGTCGCATCCTACCGGGTACCCATTTAACACCTGGGTGGAGAGTAGCAAGTGCAGGTTAATATCTTGCCAAAGGATATTAGTGTTGTGTCGGGATTCGAACCCTCGACCTTCTCATCTCCCGTCGAGCGCCTTAAAATACTTGACCACGACACTCCCGATGACATTGAAAAATTACAAATTCAAACTTATCGTGTCAAGGCACATGTTAGGGCAGTTTAATATCTTACTGATATCAAGTCCCCTAATGCCATGGTTACTCAATGGACTGTGAAAGTAATCATGATTTAGTTTTCTCTAGAGAAGTCAAGTAAGAAATATTTTATTAATAGTTACAGTTTTCAGTATTCAATATTTTAATTTAGAATTTAAGATGTCTCTTTCTACTTTGTACACAATTGACGTAGTAAATAGTAAAACGTGTAGAATCTTTGGATCCAGGAATTAGTTCTTGTAATTCGATAAAAGCAAGCTGTTAGGAAAATCATGTGCATAATTACAAAAATTAATTGATATAGGGATTTCTGTAAGGTTCTGAAATTTTCAATGGCACAATTTACTTTTTTTCACTGCAGGTGAGAGCAGCTAGTCAAGCATTGCTGCTGGCAGAGCTCCAGCGCATTGGCACAGACGGGAGGGAAGAAGTGATCAACCAGTGGGCACCCCACCTCCCGCACTACGTGGACTCGTCCGTCAGTCTAACTGCCCCTGTGCAGAGTGGGCAGAGTCCATTAGCAGGAGGAGGGGTGGTCAGGGATGGTCACTTTGATACAGGGAGCAGTGATAGCTCAGAGATGGAGAATGAAGAGGAAATCCTTTCTGGTGAGAATCTCTTCCTTTTCCATGATTACTACTGGCTGCACTTGGGGCTTTAAAAGCAAAAACTGATAAAATAAAACACTCCTCATTTTTTTAAATATTCTGATTCAATAGAAATAATATACAGTATTCATATTGATAGATGATTCACACATGTTATTTTATGAAATTCCCACCAGTACTCTTGATTGTTAATCTGTGTGAGTATATCATTCACAACTCCTTTCCTTTGGGATTCCCTTCCATACTCATAATTTGATTATCAAATTAAACATTTGTTATCCATTCTTTAAATATTTTGGTAGTGGTCTACATGTTTTCTATACTACAAGCCAACATACTTTTTGGGGGGTTATTGTTTTATTTTTTGAGGCTAAGGATGCCAATTGTAAAGCCCTCTTTTATCATCTTAACATATAACTCATTTGCTTGAACAGACTTATGAATGATAAACTTTTAATTATGGGTAATTTTACAAAGCAAAGTGCTATATTCTTTTATCTCTCCAGGTGATTCTCCGATTAGGAAAGTCTCCTCATCGTTTGAGTCGCGTAGGAAGCAAGCTACAGCCATCGTAATGCTGGGTGTGATTGGAGCTCAGTTTGGTGCTGAGATCCAACCCAGCCGACAGAGGGCGCCAAGCAATACTAGCAATCGACCTATCCAGCAGGGCTTCGGTCTGAGCGACTACTCCCTGGCAAGACATACAGGTAATGCCGGAAAGCAAGGAATGGACTCTGATATTTCTTGATTTCCTAGATCTATAACTTATTTCAGATGTCTTTGGAGTGCCTATGTCTTACTTCTTTCTTTTATTTTTTTTATACCTGTCCCTTGCTGGATTGAAAAATGAAACATCTACAGATTCAGAAAGCATTGTGCTATGTTTTGAAGTAACCAGTCACCAGGGACCACATTATATTTCCATTACTGGGCAGCTAGTGTTTGTGTTTGTGTTTTGAGTTTCAGCTCAAGGTCTGGCTACCCAGTGTGAAGCTATTGACGTGAGGGAAAGGGGTTTTACTTTATATACCGGTAATAATAATAATAATAGTGAACATTTATAATGCGCCATGTCTGTCACAAATGACATTCTTGGCGCAGTTGTGTGAAAATTGTATATTTGTGGGCATCAAGTGATTCAATAAAGAAAGTAAAATACACATAAGTTAAAGTTTAACATACCTCAGGATGAACTACGAACCTTACATTGATGTCTTTCTTGTTTCTTTGTATGTATGTCAGCTCAAGCCCTTGCATTCCTGCTGTTGCAACCGCCCAGTGTGAAGCTCCCTGCCCACACCCCCATCCGTAGGGCAGGGATTGACCTGATGGGAAGGGGTTTTACCGTCTGGGAACCCTTCATTGATGTATCAGCTGTCCTGCTTGGACTCCTAGAGTTATGTTGTGACCCTACCCTATACTCTGCGTGGTTAGTAGTATGGAATGTTAAATCCAAGTTTTTTGTCAAGTTTCTTGAATGTTGAAAGAGAGTAATTTTTGCTATAAGAAGGCATGTAACAAGGTTTTCATGTTTTGATGATAGTCTGTAGTAGTATGGAATGGAATTTGGATTGGTGCAGAATAGACACAAAGGAATGATAAATGTAGAGATGTGTTTTTGGTAGCAATTCTCCTTGAATTTCTTAAGGTATATCTCCACATGCTGATAAAAGGTGTATTCTCATAGGTGAGAATACAAAAGATTATCTTCTTCGTTATTCAAAATAAACTAATCCTCATTTGGATTGAAACCAACAGATTTTAAATCCCTTATTTTGTGGACATTTTGTCGAGTTCTACCAAAATTTTCAACTCATTGAATTTTATGTTATCTATCCAGTATTTACAGTGGTCTCCCAATCACCCCAGCCGCCGACTCCTGCCGTAGCGCCCACCACGCCCTGTCTCTGATCGCCACAGCCCGCCCAGCAACCTTCATCACCACCATGGCCAAGGAGGTGGCTCGTCACCAGGCATTGGCTTCCAATGCCCAGGTCCCGGCCAGCGTGCTCAACACTAGCCCGCTGCAGAAGGCCAAGGCTGAGATCCTACGCATCGTCGAGCTCCTCATTGAGAAGATGCAGAATGACGTCTCGGATCTACTTGTGGAGGTGGGTCTTAGGGTTGGTGATTGTAAAAGGTCAACAAAGATTTTGTGAATGGTAGAGGTGTCATTGGCTGGTTAGGTCACTGAGACTGGCATTAAAAATAATAGGGTTCAAATCCCTGCCATGGCCATGATATCCTCTTTGGAGACATTAATCTGCATTTACCACGTTCAAATCAAGTGAGGTAAATGGGGTATGTAGCAAGAAGATATTCCTTTAAAGCGTGTCTGTACTAGTGTGAACAGGAGGGATTATACCACCCAGCGAGATCACTGACAGGTGGCTATCTCATCAACTCAGCTCTCAATTAACATAAGAAAAAGAGGATCATGGGGGCCGATTAAGCATTGTTTTCTATACAGAGGGAGCAAGTAACTACAATTAATACCATGGGCCTTTAAATGCTTGACCACCTTATAATAATTGCTGCCTGATTCAAGCTGGGGGTATTTCAACTTATGCACTTTGGAATAGTTTAACTGGATTGATAGCGCAATATAAGTGTGTTATATTGTAATTTCATCATTACCCAGTAGTCCTTTTAAGTAACAACAAGATGTATGACAAATATGATGCATTGATATATCATATAAACATTACCTTAATAGGCTTTTTAATTTTGTTCAATAGTGTAGTTAGCACATCAAATTAATTTCTGTTCAATGTTGCACTCTTCACTTTTTGATTTGCTGATGGGTAGGTTGTGGACATTGTGGTGTTCTCGCTGGACACTAATCAGGTGAAGTCCAAGGGGTTGATGGAGGTGTTCCCGTCCATCTGCCGCTTCAACATGCTGAGCTACTGTCACAGCAGCAAGAGGCTGGCCGTGGGTGCCAAGACTGGAGCTATCACCATGCATGATCTCAAGAGTGGCAAAACACAGGTGAGACAATGAGGCACAGAGAAAGAAATGAGATAGGGATGGAGGGAGGGATAAAGAAAGAGAAGGGAGGGAGAGAGAGAGGGAGAGAGAGAGATAGAGAGAGGCAGTGAAAGTAAGTAGTTTATTATGCTCCACATTCTCAAGTATTTAGATGTAAGGATAAAATATTAGTCATCTGTTTTTATTTCATATCAATAATTGGAATGGAAATTCTATACACTAGGTGTGTGGATATCAGGCTTTAGGGCATGCTTGGCAGTATATTTAAAAGAATTAATCTCCCACATTGAAAAAAAATGATTACTATGTCACAGTGAGAGTTTCCTCTTTCAGGACACATAAGTTAATTTCTTTCACTTGATTGATATGTCCGTACTCCCCAACTCTTGTAAGTCGTGAACTCATGGAAAAAAGATATTGTGTCTTTCCCATACTAAGGTATTGTCTGGTCACCAGACAGCTGTGACCGCCCTATCCTTCTCAACCGATGGCAAGCACCTGGCATCCTATTCGTTTGGTGACACAAAGCTCTGCTTCTGGCAGGTAAGTTAGAATGATGCACTAAGCATCGTATGACTGTTAAAGACCTTGTGGTTCTGTGGCTGGCATTAGGGCATTGGCAGGGGAATTCCCTACTAGAATCTAGTTGGAACTAGTAGGATTGCCTTCCTGACAGACACACAATGCTTTAATGTTAGTACAGCTATTGTTGTGGTACCAAGATATTTTAGAAGGAAAATTTGTGGGAAAGAAACATGCTATTTTTACTACTTCAGTTGTTTTGTTTGTTTAATTATGTATATTATGGTTTGCTTATTTAGGGTTGTGAGCATGATGACCATCTAGGACTTGTACATTGCAAGCAACTCAATCAAAAAGACTTCCTAGAAAATGAACTTAAGGGCTATTTCACTAGCCTCATTGAAATATACCTCCATTACAATCTCATATGTCATACTCTGAACATAATTTCTGTTGGGAAACCAGTCAGGAATTTCTCTTGTAGATTGTTATAGAGTCCGTGTTATCCTGTCAAGCATAATTGTTCCTGATCTGTTACAAATGCTGAGATTATTTTGATTCCTTTGTTATCGTGCAGTCTGGAGCATCACTGCTGGGAGGGATGATCAGTTCATCAACCAAGTGTGTCAAGTGCTATATGACCAAACCCTTCAACTGTACCTCCACCGCTAACCAGCTTAGACAGGTCTCGGTCACCTGGCCACACAGCAAGGCCATCATCCTGAGATACCTGGATGGCACCATGGATAAGTTCTCACTCTAGAATCATAATGTTCTTAAAGACTACTTGGACAGATCTCTGTCACATGGCTACATAGCAAGGCTATCATTCTGAGATACCTGGATGGCACCATGGATAAGTTCTCACTCTAGAATCATAACGTTCTTAAAGACTACTCGGACAGATCTCTGTCACCTGGCCACACAGCAAGGCCATCATTCTGAGATACCTGGATGGCACCATGGATAAGTTCTCACTCTAGAATCATAACGTTCTTAAAGACTACTTGGACAGATCTCTGTCACATGGCTACATAGCAAGGCTATCATTCTGAGATACCTGGATGGCACCATGGATAAGTTCACACTCTAGAATCATAATGTTCTTAAAGACTACTCGGACAGATCTCTGTCACATGGCTACATAGCAAGGCTATCATTCTGAGATACCTGGATGGCACCATGGATAAGTTCACACTCTAGAATCATAATGTTCTTAAAGACTACTTGGACAGATCTCTGTCACATGGCTACATAGCAAGGCCATCATTCTGAGATACCTGGATGGCACCATGGATAAGTTCACACTCTTAATTACGACGTTCTGAACATAATAACATGAGGACTTATTATCATGAGGCTATGTAACAGTTTTGCAGAAGAAGTCATTGTAGATTACTCATTTGTAATATTAGAAGTCAACTCCTCTCTATTCGTTGAGAAATTTGTGAATATTCCGTCGCATCCATGTAGAGTGTAATTATGTTATACATTGTATACTGCAGACATTCCTCCCCCCCCCCCCCCCCCCCCATCTTCATTCCTTATGTATGCATATCATAAATGTTTGTTGTTATGTATACCGGTATTGATGTCAAACTTCACCAAAAACGCTTCATCTAAATTTCGCTGAAGAGGATTAAATATCATGATCCATGATATAAATGGATGGAGTTATCATACAGCGCATTTTTCCATAAAAAAAGGTCTAAATATGCTTCATCATGAATCTCGTTGTGAATTATTCTGGTAACTATATATTTCATGACTCCCAGGAAAGCTTATTAGGTAGATTGTATCTGTTACCCCACTGTCAATAATGGACAATAATGGATGGTTATATTGTAATCATAGCTGCATATGTTATTGCAAAGATACTGATTTTATGTCTTGATGTTCATATCCTCCTCAGTATTAGCATCAATCCAAAGGGTTAGGATGTTTTATGGATAAACATATTCAAAAAGTGGATTTCACATTGTTGACAAAGTTATCCAATATGATTTTGTAGAGGATTGCATCGCGGACAACTTTTATATGATCTGCTTTTTGTGTTAAAAAAACAAGGTATTTCATGACTTTCCAGTCAATTATACATTAAATGTTATTCATTATTAATGACTTTAGTGATATATATATATATATAAACTCTAATAACAAGTAAACCCTGTGGAGTAACCTTTTTTCCTTATGATGTTTTTAATCAAAAATGATATAGCTCCCTCTGCAGTCAACTGAATGTCAGTCAGAGAGTCAGTATTTTAGTAATGGTGGTGATGTATTACATTCTTTCTTAAGAAAGGTTCATCAAAGTGTAAAACTGAGCTTCTGGAATGTTATAGAGTTAAGGAATTGTCAAGAAAGAGGAATAAATGTAGAATTTGGTGTAGGATTATGAATAATTTTTAATTTTTTTTAAATACATGTACTATTTTGTTGATCGGTAACATTGTGGACTGTATTTAAAAATATTCTTTATAGATCTGTTCCTCAAATTATCATACAACTCAAGCTTTTATTAATCATTTGCCAAATACTGCATTATATTTACCATATGTAAATCATGCTAGTCATAAATATGCTCATTGATTTTGAATTTAACCTTCTTTCAAACAGGTGAAATATTATGCTGTTATGGGGTATCCACAGTGCTGATATAATGTATTTACTTGGTATTAAGATAAAGAAATGTAGCTTTAATATATATATATATATATATATATATATATATATATATATATATACGTAACAAGTAAGAACATTAGCATCGATTGGACTTCTGAAGAAAAACAAATGAAAGAGAGAAACAGTATCTTTGTGTTTATATCCTTAATTACACACTTCAATATTCATATGTCTAATGATATAAAACAAGCAGTACTTGAGTTTATTTGGTTGATTACTAATCAAGGATTAGTTTTATGTCTTGGACAGTGGAAGGAATATAAATCTTTTGTCTTAGCTATCATTGTTTATTATGGGAAAACCATTAACATATAGTGCAATTTTGTATTGAAGATGTACATGTGAATGTTGTGTATATGAAAAGTATATTAATAAATGTACAGTGCTATATATTACCCTCCAAAATACTTGTAGGATGTCAAATTTGTTGACGCCATGCAACTTCATAATTGCTTTCTTTTGTTTTCCTTACCTTTATCTAATTTCTATTCTCCACATCCGCCCCCCACATATTTTGTTCTCTCTCTCTCTCTCTTTCTCTCTCTCTCTCTCTTCATTGTCGCTCTGCCCCTTCTTGTCCCTTCTCGCCCCTCTTGTATTTCTATTCCCCATCTGTCTCTCCTTGTATTTGTCCCTTTCTGTCTCTCCACCTCCCCTTCCCTCTTCTCTCTTTTCCTTACCCCCATTATTTTTATCTTTTTCTCTGTACTGTCAAACTCATCTTACATCATACCCTCAAGATCCCCCTCCCCATTTCCATCACTCTTCATCATATTTCCCATCTCTCTAATTTCCTCCCTTCTGCCATAGCTCATGAAATATACTGACATAGACATGACCGTCGTGACGCCTTTTAATTAATGCAAATACACAGAGTCTAGACTGTATTCCCTGTCTTCAAGCCTGAAAACACAGACACTGGATGCACATGTAGGTCTAGGTTACATCGCAAACACCATAATACGTCCACGTTACGCAAGACTGCTAAAAAGAGTTGAAATACGGGGCAGGATTGAGAAAAAGCAGGATCAGATCTAGGTCTATAGATGTATGCCTAAAGATCAGCTTTGTGAAGAATTATGACAGTCCAATTCAGGCTCGAATAGCTAAAGCAAACAAGCAAATTTGTTATGGTTAAAACATTTTCATCAACAAAATATACAAGATGAGATTACAAATTCAGAAACTCTGCCCGAAAATGAGGTAACTGAAGGGGGGGGGGGGGGGGGGGGGGGCTTCAGTCCCAGACCCCCAACTTTCAGCCTCGTATATGTGTTAAACAGATATTTATTTTGAATATGCCAGTTCTGCTAAAGAAATGATTTGTAGATCATCCCTTTAGACTTGGGGGAAGTGACAGGTTATTTTTTCAGTCTTGTTTTTATCTGTCATACTTTTTTTTTCCTCTACTGTCCACCCGTTTGCTTTCCACATCCCTCTTCATGATTTCTCACTCATCATCGTAATTAAAGCGCTACAGGATCTTTTGCAAGTTACGCGTGAAGAGCGACACCCTCTCGCGGCGGCTTCCGTAAACCGACCAGGTTGACCTTATAAGGTCAAGGTCCATGCGCAGAGTGACGTTTCATTCATTAACGCCTATACCATACCTGTGCTCTCTCTCCTCCTTACCCAATTAACTTGCATTTCTAATATTTCGAATCCTTTTAAAGATATTCAGGGTCTTTTTTTGTCTTCCTCTGCGGTATGTTTCTTTCCGCATCTAATATCCCAGGTCTCCCTCTAATCCTTGCTACTTCCCTATTCGATCTCTGCTTCTTCCTCCAAAAATAAATTCACGTCCCCTTGCTAAGCTCTGTTGACGCCGCTATTGATACTGTGTAATTTCAACAATTATTTAATTTTGTATAGTTATGTGTTGCTGGCTTAAACTTAATTTTGTTTATTTTAAATATACACTTTAAATATAATTCAATGCTATAATATTCATCTTGCTTCGTTCGGCTAACAATAATACTTGCTCCCCCATCTGCTTCTCTCTCTCTCTCTCTCTCTCTATACAAATATTCCAACTTAACGGGCAACAATGTATTTTATATGATTATTTAAAGGCATTCTCCTTTTTGCTGGATAAAGGTACAACAGAGTAGTTGCGAAATGAGGGATGACAAATAGTCGATGATAAGCGTTGACATTGGCCATGGCCTTCATCTTTGCTAAAGAAGCTTCCACGTTCGAATGATGAGCTCCATTATCGCTCATTAGGATCACTACCGCTACGCCAGTCATGCGTCAAGTTCCGCCAGAGATACGTCAAGAGAATACAAAGAAATTACAGCGAGGATGTCATTGCAAGGATGGCTGCAGATGCAAACTATCTGTGTCGGATTGTGAAATACGGGGAAAGAAGAGGGAGTGTAATGTAATGTGATCGTTATTATCCTTTTATCCTTTGTCTAAGAAAAGGTTTGAGCCTTCCCCATATCCCGCTCAAAAATTGAGAATTTCCTCTTTCTTCTCTTGTAATCACAATAGTGTTTCAGAATGATTATTAGTTCATTTGTGGTATTCTTACAAATATTTTCGAGATTTTTTTTTTCTTCAAACATTTCTTCTGTCTGCGATGTACTGTATCCCTAGAAGATTATGATAAAGCAACCGGCATCAAAAACTCGAGTTCTCATTTTCTTGTTTCGGGTTTGTTTCGGTTATTTTCATTTAAATCTTTACACGTAAATACTGTAGGACCTACTTCATTCATGCCTAAATATTTCATTGTTGTTGTTAGGTTAGTTTTAATGGTACTTAAATGATAATTCAATTTTGGAAGTTAGGCTAAAAGTTAGTTTTAAGTGGCATATCCTCCTTTATTTAGTCTTCTTGGGATACATTTTTTTTTCATGATCCACATGAAGTTAGCTACTTTCATTCAAGTCATTATAGAACGTCTAAAAACTGGGAAGGTCTCCTTCTCCTCCCTCAAGGGCGTGTTATCTTCGACAAATAGGACATCCGTTTCCTCCCGGATGCGTTATTTTTTTATGCGGCACAGATTGGGGCTTTTTTTTAAAGGGGTCTTGATTTACAGACTAATACTGGTCGTGTGCGTACTAGACAGTATAAGTAGTAGAGGTCTGTTTTTAATAGTGTTACATGTAATCCACTACCGCATGGAAAATCATTACATCAACAATTAAAATCAAATTGGAAATCTGAAGAGGAGGCAGCACGTCAATAAGGAGAACATCACAATAATTAGTCAATAAAACTTAACTAACTTAAACGAAGAGGAATGTTATCTAAACACATAGTTCGCGATGGATATACAAACTTCTTCGCAGCGCTAATGCGCTAGCGAACATGACTAGTCTCACGTACGTGCAGACACTATTCAGAAGGGAAAGAACGTACTTCCCATAGGTTTAACACGCGCCATGCCCCAATCTGTGCCGCATAAAAAAATAACGCCTCCCGGATAATGGCCGACATCTTGGAAATCAAGGTAAGTAGAGAGGTGTGGCGTCTATGAATTGACGTCACATACCGGTCACGTGGGTCTCGAATGTTTTCGAGTGTTCCGCGAAGAATCTTCAAAACTTCATAATGATGCACCGAGACTACCGAGAGAAAAAAAGTTTACCAAGGGTTTGCATTTAATTCAAGATCAACTATAGATAATTTAATCCTTCAGCTTGATCTTTCGAATATCTGAAGGAAATTTTATTAAAATCAGCTACAAACATCCAGGATCGGTCTGCTTCAAAGGTCATTCTAAAAATCACAATTGCAGATCAATGTCGACACCCAAGGAAACTTCAGACATTACTGCATTGAAGTGACCAAAATGATCCCCACTGGAAAGCTGGCATATACACTGATATTTGTTTTAGTTGAGTGGCCCCATGCATTATACCCATCGATGGTCTCTATTCAGGTGTCGGACAGACCAATATAATTATGATCATGATGACGAGGTTTTGAAAGTCTAAACTTTGTAACAAATATTATGACAAAACTTAGGGAGTACATACGTCTCGTCTTATAAATACATGGTTTCCTTTTAGATAGGGTTGGATTTGGGGTTTATAATTTGTTAATTGCTATGAAAATCCAAAAATAAGAGGAGTTTCCTGTTGGGAAAGTGGTTAATTAGGACATTATCTTTATTATAATTTGTATTATTCTATTTTGGACATGGCGGAATTCCGGACAATTAACCATGGCCATGGTTTCTGATGAACACCACTTGACGTTGCAAAATTAATGATGCTATACTCTCCAAGGTCGGAATAGAATATAATTGTATATAGGAATATCACAGACTGACTATTAACATGACAAGTTGTGGATCTGATCGGTTCGGATTTGCAGTAAGACCTATATGATGCTGATGATGACGACCTTAACGATGAGAGGAGGAGGAGAATGACGACGAAGATGATGAAGACGATGGTGGTGGTAACAATGACGATAATCATCGTCATGATAATGATGACGATGATGATGATTATAATCCTTTATACTAAACCCAGCTTTTCATGAACTCGTCACTTTAGTATTCCCCGAACTATTCAGTAAAAAAAAAGAAGAAGAAAGATAGACATAAACCTTTAAGGGTACGTATTTAGAATGTCTCGCCCCTAAGCAAGAGAAGCTGATAATGTCAACAGTTGGGCGAGCCTTGGTTTTGATCTGAATTTGATTGTCATTTTAAATGTTCTCCCCCGACATAAGTCATTTCCTTCAGAGCAAGTCACGGATTCATGTCTTCAAAGCCGAAACTTTAGATCAAACTTTAAGTTTGTAAAGAAATTTCGGCTTGCACCCAGGAAATAAATTTGTTATTTACAAGATCGAGCCGCGCGATATTTATTTACTAGGTGCAGGTCGAAAAAAAAAAATTCTTCAAGTTGTTGCGATCACATATTATGAACGATCATTGCGGCAAAGAGCGGGACTTTTTTAACGCAAATTCTTTCATGATTTACACATTCCTCATGATAATCTGATATTGAGTGCGCCAACAACACAAAGAGTGAATTCTTTGATATATAAGCACTATGTTCGTACATTTCGTTAGATGAAACAACTTAAAGGTGTTTTCGAAAGCATGAAGCTGGTAGTACTAGAGGTCTTAGTAATGTCATACATGAAATCACTTTTAGAGGTGTTTTTTTCGTGAAGTCTGAAATCCTTGGAACAATTGACCTTGTCTTTAAGATCTGCCGTTGTCCATGACATTTAAATGTTATGTCGTTGACGTAGAAATCGTTATGAATGCCTCTCCATCCTTTCACCTGTTTGTCATACATGTCACTTATCGTGTCTCTTGGCTCGGGGTATGCTCTCTCTCTCTCTCTCTCTCTCTCTCTCTCTCTCTCTCTCTCTCTCTCTCCTCATAGATTCTTTATGATCATGACCTTGGTGATGAAAGATTGGATTTA